ATAATAAGCCTACATATTAAACAAAACCCGGATCCGGAACAATTATCTGTGGGTCACACAAATACTTGTCCCGTGTGGGAATCGAACCCACGACCCCCGACGCCGAAGCCCATTATTATCATCGGTCTGGGAGGCCACCAAGCTCATGGGGCGCTCAGGGCTCAAGGGCCTCGAGAGGGGACCTCGGCTTGGGCTGTCACTCAATACCCGGTTAGCATTCTGATTCCAGGGTGCCCCAGAGGGCCGGACCTCGGCTCGATCGGTAGCTATAGTCTGACTGGTGCGTTGCGTGAGTGAGGCAAGCAAAGGCTACGCGGCTCAGAACGCATCTGTAGCCCCACAAGTGTTTATATGTCCATTGGCGGCGGTTATAACTTAACATCATGTGAATCACCTATTTTCTTCGCTTTCCTACCCTTTTCCCACGTTAGGTGGAGTCAGCACAACGTTTCCCTTCTTTCCACTTTCCTCTATCAGCCGTTATCTCAATACTCACTTCTTTCACAGACATATCATTCTTCACACAGTACATCAAATAATGAAGACCGAGCTTCCTCTAGTTTTGCATCCTCCAACCACATTCATTCTCATCACTCTTCTAGTCAAATGACTTTCATCCCTTCTCGTAACGTGTCCATACCATGTCAAGCTAGGTAGCTTAAGGTAAGGTAATGCTAAGGAGGTCCTTATTTTCTGTCAACGGTGGCACTTTCGGGCTTAACTTGATATCATTCCGGATTTAATGCTTTGTCGTCATACCACGCATCCCTTTGAAGAATCGCATCTCTGAATAGCCTGTCCGCTTGCCATATTATTAGAAAAATAATAATAATTAGACACCTGCCAGAGCTATCGATTTTTCGTCGCGCAATTATATTCGCTGTTACGAGGTCAGTGGGGCTTATAATCGCTGATGAATATGCATCGACGTGTACATTCAAGAGCCAACGAACATCCACTGTCAAGTGCACACACACAAAGCATTGTCGCTCGTCAACACAGCACACACCAACACACACGCCAGACGCGACGAGGTTTTGTGTTTCAAGCTTATCTATACAATATAATTACTGCGCGTACTAACACGCAACATCCGGCCGTATTTCGTTTTCAGTAAAGCTGAGAGCGGCGTGCGATTCGTTTCGCCATCAAACTCCAGTTCCTAGCAACGGAACGGCATGAGTAATGCTAACCATATGACTTTTAAATAGAGTTGTTTTTGAAAAGTACGCGATTTGCCGGCGCAAGTTTTGTGTTCCAAGTGCGCGTCGTCATAACGAGCGATGTAAACAAAGAAATGTGCTACCGGAATGATTCTGCACAATTATTATTAGTGTCATCATTCTGTTTGTTGTCAAACAAGAAGTTAAGACAATAAATCTATGGAGACGTCTGAATACAAGTATTTATTATTTATCGAAACGTAAGGTGAACCATTGACGTGTGGAGGTTATATTGAAGTCATTCTTCTTCTGGCGCGTTAGTGATAACGATTCGTGTGAATCTTTACGCTGCACGCACACAGCTACGGGAAAAGTTTAATTAAATAACTTGGAATTAAAGGCACAAGTACAGGAACAGTTTAATTAAAATGACTTTGAAATATAGGTAAGTTATTGATTGCCATGGTAATACCGTGTCATCATGTCTCTTTGTCTGTCCGTGACTCGGCGGCGCCGGCGCTGAGTCATTGGTAAAATGGTTAAACGCAACCGTCGGAACCTCTCCGCCGCCTGGATAGACTACAAAAAGGCATTCGACTCGGTGCCCCATACATGGCTAAAGAGGGTCCTCGAACTGTACAAAGTAGACTGTACAGTAAGAGACTTCCTCGAGCACTGTATGGGGCAATGGAGTACGATCCTCTGTCATCTAGGCGAGCGGATGACGGCTGCGGAATACCGGATAAGGATACGACGGGGTATTTTCCAGGGCGACTGTTTGAGTCCAATATGGTTTTGCCTCTCCCTGAATCCTCTCAGCGTATTACTGGAGGGCTCGGGGGGAGGATTTCAGCTTCGGAGAGGAGGGACAAAAGTGACCCACCTTTTCTACATGGATGACCTCAAGTTATTCGCCTCCAATCGCTCCCATTTGATGGAATTGCTTAAAGTCACTTGTGATTTCAGCAATTCTATCAAAATGGAGCTCGGGACGGATAAGTGTGCGGTCCTTCATGTCGAAAGGGGTAAGGTCACTAATACGGCGGGCATAGACTTATCTATGCCCGTTAACATAAGGACCCTCTCTGAGGCTGAAAACATACCGATACCTGGGTATGTCACAAAATATGTGTATCGATGAGGCTGGCATGAAACAGTCAGTTCGTGACGTGTTTTTTGCACGCCTGACAAAGGTGTTTAATAGCCATTTGTCAGGCGGGAACAAGGCACGTGCTTTTAACGGCTGGGTCATGCCAGTCCTCATGTATACCTTTGGCATACTCAGGTGGACTCAAACTGAGCTCAACGCCCTGGACCGAAAAGTCCGCACAACTATGACGTCCCACAGAATGCATCATCCGAGATCGTCAGTGATGAGGCTGTACCTTCCGCGGAAGCATGGCGGGAGGGGCTTTTTAAGCGCCCTCACCATGCACAATCGCGAGGTGTGCAGCCTCCGTAACTACTTTCTGGCGAGATCGGATGAGTCAATCTACACGGACGTCATTAGTTGTGATAAAGGACTTACCCCTCTATCCTTAGCCAACGAGCAATGGCAGGACCCGGGAGTACTGAGCGTTTCCGACCGAGAGGCTGTATGGAAGGAGAAAGAGCTCCACGGGAGGTTCTACAAGGCTCTACACGAGCCTTTCGTAGATACTGTTGCCTCCCTGAACTGGCTACGTTTCGGTGACCTCTTTGGGGAAACCGAAGGTTTTGTCTGTGCGATACAGGATCAGGTTATTAAGACGAACAACTATAGGAGATACATCCTAAAGGATGGCACCGTCGACATCTGTCGAGCTTGTCGCCATCCCGGGGAGTCACTTCGGCATGTTATCTCCGGTTGTTCCATGCTTTCTAACTCTGAGTATCTGCATAGACACAACCTAGTAGCCAGAATCCTACACCAGGAGCTCGCTCTGAAATACGGCCTCGTGGAACGGAAACTGCCGTATTATAAGTACTCTCCGGAGGCCGTGCTCGAAAATGACCGCGCCAGGCTCTATTGGGACCGGTCCATCATCACAGACAGGACAATTGTCGCGAACAAACCTGATATCGTGTTGATGGACCGGGCACAGTCGCGGGTATTTTTGGTCGACATTACCATTCCATATGACGAGAACCTCGTGAAAGCCGAAACAGATAAGAAGACGAAGTATCTGGACCTGGCTCACGAGGTGACCGACATGTGGGGTGGTGTGTCGACCGAAATTATCCCGATAGTCGTGTCTGCGAATGGGTTGATCCCAGTCAGCCTCTCTAAACATCTGAGGCGACTGGGACTCCGGGACGGATCGCTCCAGGCTCAAATGCAGAAGGCGGTGCTCCTCGATACCACCCGCATCGTCCGCCGGTTTCTCTCCCTTTCGCCCTAACCCTCGGCCGTTTGGTCTCCCCTGCCGAGGGCTTCCGTCTGGTTTGGGTCCTATTTATATATGTATTATATAAAATATTTATTTATATATATATATATATATATATATGTTTATTTTTATCCATAATATTTATTTTATATATGCAATATATATCTATATCTTTATTTTTATTTATTATTTATAAACCCAACCAGACGAGAAAACAAATGAATATCCCCCCAATAGCGTAACGGCCCTAGCCGAGGCTTCCCTCGGGATCCCTCGAGCTTAGTCACCGTAACGCGTAACCGAGGTTCGGGCTAGGCGACCCGAGCGTCACGCCACCCCAAGTGTGGTGGATATGTAAAGGCCCCTAAGGCCAACAGAGCTAGATCCTACGTAAAGAGGAAAAAAATCGCGCAACGCAATGTCTAACACTTCCACTTCACTTCGATAGATTTAATGGCAGGGCACTTCCCCGGACGATTAGTGCAAAGCATAGCTTATTTTGGTCGATACCTCGCATCTCGAGCCCAATAAACTACACTATAAACACTAATTAATAACCCTACACTATGTTTGATTATTTATAGCATCAGAAAACACTATTTATAATCAAACATTCACAACGTAAGGTTATGTAATCCATCATCACTGAGACTAATTTTACACATGACAGTATACAACATAGTAGGGAAACCGGCATCTAAATGTTGTAAGTAAATTCTTTATCGTTACATTGAACACAGTTTCATCCAGATGTGGAACGACGTTAATATCAATGGTACTGATGGGACCTCGATCTTTAACGCACCTGTATTCATCCAGCTCACTGCGGGACATACAATTAATACAATGGCATCTTCATCATCAATTAATACAAAGACTTCTCGCGGTTAGGGAATTGACCTCACTTTCGTACCGTAGAATAAATCGTCTTCCGTCTCGATCACTAACTATTTCTTCAGAAAACAATCCAGTCCCCAAAAATATTAACATTCGTTTTCGTCAAGATAGAACAGTTACATGGGATTTTTTCGTTTGACTGAATGAATGACTCCTATTTGTTTATTAATTTTACAACAGATGCCATTGAAGCCGATGCACGGCGCATTCAGCGATAATTGTTTGATAAGTTTCATTTAAAGTGTTTTGTGTGACGTATATTGGCGATAAAGCAGGAACAAACGTTGAGGACCCTATAAAATCAATGAAGACACTGGCCTTGTAAACTCGCTCTAAAGTAAAAAAATAACAAGCCAAAAATAACAACCGCCGATTTCTGCTTGTTGATTATTTCATTAATGATTTTCTTTACCGAATAAAATTTTTGTTAGCACGAAAGAACCTAAAAGTTTTGGACATCTGATTTAATAATTAATACATTACCAGATACCTAATTATCCATTATTAGATAGCCCGGTAATACGTCTAGATTATTGGGCCTTTGAATCTGACTGATATGAAATCCCTACAGATGGAGAGCATGTCTCCATGAAATGTGGCCTCTGGTGCCTCTTCGGGATGCTGGTCTTCATCGTGGTGGAGAAGCTGTTTGCCGTCGCCGAGGATCACGAGGACTCGGAGGAAGAGGAGAAGAAGGAAGGCGCCAACGGCGCCATCAAGCAGATAGAGATAGAGGAGATAGAGAAGCTGCTGATTGCCGAGAGGAAGAGCAGGGGAATGGAGAATGGCGGGCTTTGCGGCGGCAACGGAAAGGTGACGGCCCGACAGCTGTACGATACCTGCGTGTTTAACAACAACACGAAAGGTACGTCTTTTTGTGTGTTAGTGTTTAATTCAAAACTGGCCAGCACTGGACTGCCAACTGATAGTAAGTGGCGATGCAGCCGTTGATGGTAAGCGCGCTATGTCAGTAGAAACCTATTCACTCTTGCCTTGAAGACTTCACGTTGTATTCGGACGGAAAGACAGACGCCGACTATACAATGTGGCGCTACTACCGCGACCTTAAATATAGAGGATCATTTTTTAAAACTGTGTTAAAAATTTACTTCCATTAAACATCAATATTTACAGAGTTATTAAATTATCCAGAATAAATAATTTTAGAACACCCGTACGTATAAAACTGTGACGTAAAGTACGTTCACAAAGCACATGAAATGGTTGAATGAATTTAAAAGAGATAAAACATACTGTTGGAAGGAGAGACTTGTAATGCGACGTTGTGGCGACGAATGAAAGAGTCTCTGAATGTATGAATCAGTCAGTTGTAGTTGTATAGGATGTTACAAATTTTGTTTCTTTTTCATTTATTTAGTTTGTTTGGAAATTATTTCTTTTTTAATTATGGATATTTATTAATGATTATTGGTAAGTAGCGTTAGAAGTGTGTTCATTTAAGGTCGCGGTTGGAAAATCATGCTATATGTTTCTGTTTGTACTTTGTGTGGAAGGGCAATGGGTAGCGATTCCGAACGACCACTGCAACCTAGAAGAATTTTAGTCTTCTCTTCGAAAACGTGGCCCCTTTACTGTAAGATAACATTCAGACAACCGAAAACTGAGCTACCACGGCAAGGGCCGTACTTAATTTTATATATTGTTTTTAATGTGACAAAGTGACAAACGAGCTGTGGCGGTTAACCTCATGTTAAGTGATAACCACCGCCCAAGGACATTTGCAAAACCCACCTTTAAATAGAGTGGGCCCTGGCTACCTTACTCACCAGATGAAACGCAGAAGTGCAACACTTCTACTTCACGCCAGTCTTCTGTGAGGTCGTGGTACAAACCCAGACGGACCTGCACATTTGTGCAACAGCGAACACTGTTGCGTGTTGTAGTAAAACCTACCACAGTAGATTTTACCCTAGATCACCTCCAAGTCACGGTATTCACTCGTTCGTTTGTCATATCTTCTAAAAATACCCTCAGGCGAAGGCAGTTGCTGCAACGCGGATTCGAACCCGAACGGCGCGGTTCGCTGCAAGGGCAGCAACCGCTGGATGGGCAGGTGCCTCCTCCGCGAGGCAAAGGAGAAGGCGATGCAGGCGAGCAAGGAGAAGAGCGAGAGGAAAGATGTTAGTGCTGCCCTCTTTTCGCACGGAATGATAAGATAGAATATATAGAATGGAAACCTTTCATTCAAGACATCACACAACACCAATTTACAAAAGAAATGCATAAATATAGTATAGAGTCAAAGTGTACAAAAATAAAAAAACTAAAAAACCTACCAAGTGCGACTCGGACTCGTGCCCGAAGGGTTCCGTTATCTATAAAAACGGGGAAAAAAATCATCTCTGTCATCATTTATTTTGGTTTTCGTATTTGTTGTTATAGCGGCAACAGAAAAACCTCATCTTATATCATCTTGATGTGCTTTTTTATATTTTTTTAAATAATTGCCCCTACTTTAGGATAACATTATCCTGTGTTGTAGGGACGTTTTACAAACATAAATTTCACGCGGGCAAACACCCAGATGCGAAACAACTATCTGTGGGTCACAAAAATATTCGGGAATCGAACCCGCCCCAACGCCCGAACGCCCGAACGCCCGAAGCCAATACCTGGGCAACTACGCCACGGTGTCATCATTTTTCTTACTAGATAGAGTGATTCAAGAAAAAGGTTTATATGTTTAATACATTGCACCCGTGCGAAGCAGGGGCGGTTCGCTAGTCGTATACAAATCCGATACCGTATTATGTACCAGGTGGCTGGCTATCTGAATCTGATGGCCAACTCCATCGACAACTTCACCCACGGCCTGGCAGTGGGTGGTTCCTTCCTGGTGGGGTTCCGCGTGGGCCTCCTCACCACATTCGCCATCTTGGGTGAGCATCGCTTATATTTTTGTTTATAAGCCATTGTTTTTGTTTCAAATTACGACCGGTTTTACTTGTCTATCTACAGATGTAGATTTGGTTACTTGAAAATCTAGATGACATATCTATGTAATCTAGATGATATATCTATGTAATCTAGATGATATATCTATGTCATCTAGAACTACTCCATCGACACTTCATTCAAACTTCACCCACTGCCTGGCAGTGGGTGGTTCCTTGCGCTGGTTGGGTTCCGCTGGGCCTCCTCACCACATTCGTTGGCGTCGCCATCTTGGGTGAGCATCGCTTACCATTTTTGTTTTGTTTAAGGCCCATTGTTTTTTGTTTCAAATTACGGACCGGGTGTTTTAACCGTGTCTATCTAGATGATATATCCATGTTTTACTATGCGTTGGTTACTTGCAAATCTAGATGATTCTATTAATCCTAGATGATAATCTATGTAATCTAGATGATATAATCTATGTAATCTAGATGAATATATCTATGTCACATATCTATGTAATCTAGATGATATATCTAATGTAATCTAGATTATATCTATGTCATCTAGATCTAGATGATATATCTATGTAATCTAGATGATATATCTATGTAATCTAGATGATATATCTATGTAATCTAGATGATATATCTATGTAATCTAGATGATATATCTATGTAATCTAGATGATATATCTATGTAATCTAGATGATATATCTATGTAATCTAGATGATATATCTATGTAATCTAGATGATATATCTATGTAATCTAGATGATATATCTATGTAATCTAGATGATATATCTATGTAATCTAGATGATATATCTATGTAATCTAGATGATATATCTATGTAATCTAGATGATATATCTATGTAATCTAGATGATATATCTATGTAATCTAGATGATATATCTATGTAATCTAGATGATATATCTATGTAATCTAGATGATATATCTATGTAATCTAGATGATATATCTATGTAATCTAGATGATATATCTATGTAATCTAGATGATATATCTATGTAATCTAGATGATATATCTATGTAATCTAGATGATATATCTATGTAATCTAGATGATATATCTATGTAATCTAGATGATATATCTATGTAATCTAGATGATATATCTATGTAATCTAGATGATATATCTATGTAATCTAGATGATATATCTATGTAATCTAGATGATATATCTATGTAATCTAGATGATATATCTATGTAATCTAGATGATATATCTATGTAATCTAGATGATATATCTATGTAATCTAGATGATATATCTATGTAATCTAGATGATATATCTATGTAATCTAGATGATATATCTATGTAATCTAGATGATATATCTATGTAATCTAGATGATATATCTATGTAATCTAGATGATATATCTATGTAATCTAGATGATATATCTATGTAATCTAGATGATATATCTATGTAATCTAGATGATATATCTATGTAATCTAGATGATATATCTATGTAATCTAGATGATATATCTATGTAATCTAGATGATATATCTATGTAATCTAGATGATATATCTATGTAATCTAGATGATATATCTATGTAATCTAGATGATATATCTATGTAATCTAGATGATATATCTATGTAATCTAGATGATATATCTATGTAATCTAGATGATATATCTATGTAATCTAGATGATATATCTATGTAATCTAGATGATATATCTATGTAATCTAGATGATATATCTATGTAATCTAGATGATATATCTATGTAATCTAGATGATATATCTATGTAATCTAGATGATATATCTATGTAATCTAGATGATATATCTATGTAATCTAGATGATATATCTATGTAATCTAGATGATATATCTATGTAATCTAGATGATATATCTATGTAATCTAGATGATATATCTATGTAATCTAGATGATATATCTATGTAATCTAGATGATATATCTATGTAATCTAGATGATATATCTATGTAATCTAGATGATATATCTATGTAATCTAGATGATATATCTATGTAATCTAGATGATATATCTATGTAATCTAGATGATATATCTATGTAATCTAGATGATATATCTATGTAATCTAGATGATATATCTATGTAATCTAGATGATATATCTATGTAATCTAGATGATATATCTATGTAATCTAGATGATATATCTATGTAATCTAGATGATATATCTATGTAATCTAGATGATATATCTATGTAATCTAGATGATATATCTATGTAATCTAGATGATATATCTATGTAATCTAGATGATATATCTATGTAATCTAGATGATATATCTATGTAATCTAGATGATATATCTATGTAATCTAGATGATATATCTATGTAATCTAGATGATATATCTATGTAATCTAGATGATATATCTATGTAATCTAGATGATATATCTATGTAATCTAGATAAAATGGTCACAGGCTTTCTTAATAAAACTCAATAAGTCAATACAGTGTGTGTGTGCAAGAGTGTGTGTGTTGAATTTGAATAATTTTACACTGAGACGGAGCTGCTTATCTACACCTAAATTCCGAAGGCGTTTTCTATCCTAACCAACATCCGTCTTGTCTGATGCAGAGGCGAAGACCTCCTGGATCGCGCCTTTCACCGCGGGCGGCTTCCTTCACATCGCGCTGGTGACCGTCCTGCCAGACCTCCTCAGGGAGGACGACAAGAGAGAGTCGGCCAAGCATCTGGCAGCGCTGCTGGCCGGAATAGGGGTCATGGCCTTCATGACAAAGTACTTCGGCTAGGATGGCCCCAGCGATATGTGGACAGTGCTATAACGGTGACAGTAACATAGTGGGGCTCGGAGCCATTAGCCGATGCCAAGTGCGCAAGAACTGGACGGGAATCAAGGGATGCTTTGAGCCGGTACAGGTTTGTTCGGATGTAGTATTAAATGCACTGGAATCGTCTTACTTAATGTATTGTTGGTGGTAATATTGCCACTCAAACGTCTGAATATAATCATTTATGATCATGGAATTGTGTAAGCAATAAATATACTTCCGCAGTGCAATCAACATTTTTAGGAATTACTTTTTTGTTTTGTTTCCTTTACTCAGTAATGTTTATTAAAATTTCTATGTTGTTCTCCATATTATTTCTAATTTTAAAGTAATAGTTATTTATGTGTGAAAATGTTTTATTTCAACACTATGTAGCCCACCTACTAATAACAATTACTTTATCTAAGAAACATGATCATTCAAATATTATGTTTTACTTATATTAAAATAATCATATTCTTAGTTACATATAGCTACATTCAATTTAAAGTTAAAGATCACATGAATGTAGAAGGCAATTATATTTTTGATAAAAAAAAAACAATTTGTTCCACATGGGCAACGAAAAAGTATTAATTTGGAATTCTTTAAAAAATTACAACTAATTATGATAAGAAAGATTTTTCTTAGGCTAAAGTATGTTCTTACAAATGCTATAAGCTATTTATAATGAAATTATCTGCATTAGAACATACAATAAGTTACAATTAGATGTAAGCCATGTGCTGTGACAATTTTAGTCATTGAAATGTCAGGAAACATCCTATCTTATATGATCACTGACATTTATTATAATATTTTTTATTACATTAAGTATTACGTTATTCACACTGTACTTTAAATAGATGAAAGCAAAATACATGTTTAATAATCTATAACAGTATATAGTTATATGAATTTTATTTCTACTAGTAATAATATGCTTCTTGTCAAAGAAGGAATACTAAATTTAAGACTACTTTAAGTCTACTTGTCTACTGTTCAACATATCAGAAGACTAGTGCGGGTCTTTGCATCTTGTAGGAGATTAAGCTTTGTTTTTCATGTGATATCCTGTCAACAGTAACTGTTTAAATTTGGAAACATCACTATTCTCATATGTTGTAGTATGTTGCATAAGAATTACTTTTGCTATTTTTATTATAATGGGCTTTCTGTTCCACTATGATATTTAAATTCAATTTAACTGATACCAAATATATTTTATTTCCTATGGATTCATCTCAATATCCTTATTCAGTGTAGATATCTCGAAGGCATTGCTAAATCTAAAAGAAAAAACAATTGTAAAATAGTGCAATGTTTGAGCAAAATGTAATTTCATCACTTATTGTAATCTGTGCAAATGATTATCCCCTCTAAACATAGTTTCTATTTTTAAGTGTTTAAAAATAACATTTCGTATTTAACTATCATTATTTTATCATTATTTCTGTATTCTTTGCAGTGTTTTTATTGCTTGGATATTGTTCTAATTGGGCCAGATTTTGATGTTATTTTATTTGTTAAATTTTAAGCAACATAGTGATAAAAACTCCACTGTAGATGTTTAGTCATTAGTACAAATTATTCAACATTTTTGTTTCTTTTTCTTCTTCATATAATTGTATCATTTGTGATAATTTTTTTCTAATCATTTGTATGCTCCACAATTTAAATCTTACAGTAAAACAGGTCTCATATCTAAATATTCTTAGAATATAGCATAGCCTTAAATGTTGTGATAATAATGGCCATTTTTAAGTATTGTAATATATTCAAAACAGTGTTGAAGTCATTAAAAATTTAATCAGATTTTGATGTTTCATTAATATTGATTTTTTTTTTGTTATTCGTATTATTGTTAAAAGGCTTTTTTGTGAGAAGGTGACAATCGTGCTGGCGGTTCACCTGATATTAAGTGATATCTGGCACCCATTGACATTGCAACACCCTTAGGGTAACAGATGCGTTGCCACCTTTTAATAAAGTGGGACCTGGCTACCTCACTCACCAGACAAAACGCAGAAGTATACCACTTCCACTTCAGGTCCATACAATGAATATTTTGACATTTTTCTATTGCAACTAATCTTGGAAAACATTGCAAGCATTGCGGTACAGTTTATAAGCCCCGCGCCGTCACGATATAATTAATCGAAAAAACGAAATCTTATTTTGGAGCGACAATAATGCTTCGATGTTTATTTGCGTTCACTGATATGGACGATCATAAATCAAACTAACTATTTTTAATCTTGCATAATGCCTGTAATGAGTTACCTTTTCGGTGACACTAGCAAAGTATTTTGGACATTATGTGGAAGATTTAACAATAAAGTAATTTTTAAATGAAATAAAACAAATTCATATTATTACTTGCATTTATTTCTGAAACACTATCTTATTAAATGTATGACCGCTTCCTACGATACGTTCTCCATCATAAAGGAAAGTAATAAAAGATAGAAAATATGGATACACACTAATATAGATGGAATTTTATATATCATCTATAATAAAATGGACAGACAGACATGGTAACTTAAAGAGTACCATTGTGACTGCATATGTACACTCCTACAATTAGACAAAAGTATTCCACAGTGTTATAAACTGAGTGCTAAGAACATTTCCAAGAGATTCTTCTCTGTTTTTCATAATATAATATAAAGTAGCGTATGCATAAGCGCGATAATTAAGGTTAAATATGAAGGAGAAAAAACATTGTCATACCTTTTACTTTCATGTAATATAATAAATGAGAACTTTAACATTAAAATATCATATATCAGGAAATTCAAAGTACTTATTATTTTCTGGCAATATTGCAGACTGTCACAAGGACTACAGTTTTTTTTTAATTTATTCGACTAATAATTTAAAATACTTCAAAAGGATATGACAAATATAAAAACGAAATGTATATCATAAAAGCCGTAGAGATTAACAAATTACAAATAAATGAAAGCACCATCGCGCCAAATCGACGCGACAGTTGGACATTAAATGCTAGAAACATGGCATAATATTGCTATGTACACGGTGGTGAATTGGAGTCGAGCTCACATCACGTATACCTTCTCCACGCGTTTCATGCAGAACACCTCCTTGGTCTTGGGGCAGATGATGGATCCGTGCTCCTTCATCATCTCCTTTAATGCCTGTGGTGGGAGGTATGTTATAGTAGTACCATGTAACCATACAGATCGTTCCGTATCTCTCTGGTACTCGCTTTTGTATATGAAATACGGGTGAAACTGCGTGCACGGTAGTTAAGTAAAATGACGCGAGGAAATCTCCTCTTTTTACTATTTTATCGGTCTATAATCGAATACCCGAAGAGGTGTGACTACGTGTAGTTTAATCAGTTACAGAACTAAGTAAGCGTCGGATTAGGTTCTTGTCTTCAGTACTTAAAGAGTACGCAAATCTACGTATGAAGTGCTTGTACTAGTGTGTCCTCTTTCATTCAGTGTTGTTTTTCTTTTTGTGTGCGTCGGGCGTTAACGTGTTGGTACTCGTATGTTTGTCGAGTGTTTGCGCGTATGTATGCGCGTCGGCGTGTGTGTGCGTGTGTGCGTGTGTGTGTGTCAACCATTGCGTGTGAGCGCTCACCTTCTCTCCGTAGACCTGGCCGTTGGGCAGCACCATCGGCTGGTTGTGCTCGTTGAGCGGCTCGCGCGAGATGCGGCACACGAGCCGCGAGTGCGAGCAGTGCGCGTGCGGCAGCGTGCGAGCGAGAGCGTTCAGCGGCGCCGCGCACGCGGGGCACGAGGACACCTTGGTGCTCTCGCTGAAGCACTGCGTGCCGAGCGGTTAAGGACTCTGCGCGATACGTCTCAAGGCTCGTTTTCGAGTGGAACGGCTCACGCGGTTAAGGATTCTATGAGCTACGTCTCAAGGCTCGTTTTCGAATGGACCGGCCCTGCGCGCTCGTTTTCGAGTGGAACGGCTCACGCGGTTAAGGACTCTGCGCCCTACATCTCAAAGCTCGATTTCGAATGGAATGGCTCGCGCGCTACGTCTCAAGGCTATTTTTCGAATGTAACGGCTCACGCGGTTATGGACTCTACGTACTACATCTCAAGGCTCGTTTTCGATTGAAACAGCCAACACCGTCGGGGAGTTGATAAAACATTCACTGCTTCTGAGGCTTCATATATTCGGGATAACGGAGGTGCACAAATCCCTGATTTAGAGGTAGGCACCGTCTCTTAAGTAAGGATGCGCTCATCGACGCGGCACAAACTGTTTGCAGTGGACTGTACTGTACTAGCGAAAAAGCGTCTTTAGGTACATTATATGCGCCCTGTATGTAAAATGGCGGTTTTAGTCGATGCGATTTCGACATAGGGTATGCGTAGACATATCCCTCGCGTAAACAAAGTAATTTATACAGCACGTATTAGACAAGTATTTGTGAAAAACTGGACACGATAACTGCCCACAGACATTGTTTGTTTCTTAGTAGAGGAATATATTTATGAAAAACGATGTTTCCAAATATAGACTAGCGGCAACAGCCAAGAAGTTATAGACTATATAATGAGTATAGTCTAATACTGGTTAGTTGGCGTAGTCAATCATAACAGAGAACCTGTTTTTTGCTCTAGACGGTGTGAGTTTGATCCCAATACTGGTATCACTGAGCCGTGATAGCTCAGTGTCCGGGCGCTCGCCTTAATTCAATATGTACTCGAGCAACCTAAGTTCGATCCCCGGTGGCAGCACCAATGAAGTTTTTCACTTTAAGTGCTTACTTATCACGTGCTCCGCGGTGAAGGAAAACATCGTGAGGAAACCTGCATATTTTCGAAATAATAACAAAAAAAAATGTATTTCGAAAATATGTGAAGTCCGCCAATCCGCAGTGGGGCCGCGTGGTGGACTATGCCCTGATACCCTCTGTATAGAGGGGGCCTTTGCCCAGCAGTGGGACATGTATAGGCTGTTACTTTACTTTTACTTTTACTGGTATCACTATGTTTACACATTGCCCGTACACGCATCACTTATTTCGGGACTAGACGATGTTGCGTAAAACAAAATACTATGTATTTACATTAGTCAGTACCGTTAAATTCAAATATCTTTATTGAATATAGAGGCATTACATTTATTTATTGTGTGTCGAAACGCTACCACCAGTTCGGAAAAGAAAAGCCACTGACCTGAGAAGAACCGACGAAGGAAACGCAGCGTGACAATTTTTTAACCATTATTTAAAAAATTGATACATTCTGAACATTCATCTTCACACTTCGTCATACTTGTCCTAAGCAAAAGTGTACATCACTAGCGACCCGCCCCGGCTTCGCACGGGCGCAATGTATTATACATATAAACCTTCCTCTTGAATCACTCTATCTATTAAAGAAGACCGCATCAAGATCCGTTGTGTAGTTTTAAAGGTAAGCATACATAGGGATAGACAGACAGACGGGCGATTTTTTTATACTATATAGTGAAGTTGCGTATTCAAAAGGATATGGGGTGTTGAGCGCCGCCAGGCCCAGCTGCAGCGCAACGGGCAGCAAGGGGAGGCGCGCCGGGTGGAGGAGCCTAGCGTGCTCCCAGCGGAACTGGGCCACGAGGGCGCGCCATCGGCCGACCTCCAGCAGCGACCGGTACGGCTCCACGTCTGCCGGGGATCGAACCTTTCAACGCCCTCTCTCTCACTCGAGCGACTGTCCCCCTCGCTCGAGCGACTGTGCAAATGCACTACTCGATAACCGTGAGACAGAACAGGTGTAAATGAACAGGCCCCCCAAGTTTCAGCGGTTGGGAAACGGTTGTAAAAATCAGATATGCATGATTGAGAGAGCACGAATTAAGTTTTAAATCGAACTCAGTGTGATTAATTTGTACAACTTCCGTCTCTCTCGCACACGCGTTTCAATCTACATCTATGGGGGCACAGCAAAATTGCTAAACTAATACGATAACCTCGAGTTGGTAAATATGAATTAATTGAGTTCTCGAAACAGCCTTTTGGTAGCCCAGTTAATGGATGCGTCAGGTATCCATCATATACGAGTCATATATCAGGAAGTGGTCGGTCTCACCGGTGTCCTTTGGGAATGCGAGCATGCCCATGCAGTGCTGTATGTCCTGCAACTGGCCCTCCTCGTAGTTGGAGAAGTGCTTCTTCGCGTAGCGGACCGCCTCCAGGCGCCTGTCCTCGCGCACCAGCTCTATGAACTCCTGGTATCGAGAAGCAGCATATTGAGGAGCTTTTATTGAGCAAATATTGTTCTGAAACAGTGATCGAAAAATTGAAATAAAATTTTGGCAGGTCCGGTACAACTAACTGTGGCATTATAACACAAATACTTGTCCCGGCCAGGCACGTCAAAGTTATTTACTGGTACGAATCGGCGGGAGGGGAGACGTGGTGGGCAGTGGAGGGTGGGGATAATATTTGATGGAGTCTTCGACTGGAGCGAAGCACGAGAGTCGTAGCGGGCAGTGGGGCTGGAGGGGACTATTCGTCGGGTCCTGGTCACCTGTATGCGGATGTTGAACTCCATCGTGGAGCTGAGCTTGCGCAGCTTGGACTTGTTGTCGGCGCACCACTGCAGGCAGCGGGCGGTGCGCCGTGCTGCCAGCTCTCTCTCCACCTCCGCCGCCGCTTGGTAGATGTCTGCGGGCCCACCTTCAATTACCTCCCACGCCTCTTTCACCTCTTTCGCCTCTTTCACCTTTTTCACCTCTGGCTCTATCAACTCTCCCAGGTTACCAACCTCTCAGGTTCCGAAACTTTAATGCTTTACTTAATAGAGGGAGAAGTGTCAGACCCGTGAGGACAACGCAGCATAGGGTCAAGGGCGTGATGGCGTGGAGATGTGGTGGTGTAAGTAAATTCATACGCTATAACGTCCACAAAACCCATCGACCCCGATGCCTGTAATAGGTCTATCACTCACACCTTGCTCTATTCGCTCCCAAGACTTACTTACTTACTCCCAATCTCTCTTACCAAGCCCCGAAATCGAGCAAATCAAATTTTATAATTAGACTTACATATACGGATTCGTTAATTGGTATGGTCTACGCCTGTTTGTACGTAGTTTTTTTTTTCATATCATAGAAATTTTATTTGACAATTTATTCTCCACTTTTTTATTTTCCACTTATTTACACTTCCACTTTACGCCGGTCTTCTGTGAGGTCGTGGTACTTGGACGAGCCTGCCCATTCGTGCAACGGCCGAGGCCGCTTGCTGCGTGGCCCTACCACCGTAAACACATACCAGAACTCCTTGCTCGTTCGCACTTGGCGTGTGGCGAAATGTAAAAGCGTTCGTCTCACCGACGTTGGTGAGTTCCCGAAGGTTCTTCGCGTCCGCCAACTTGCCCGCCGAGTCGTAGTAGCCGTTGCGGAGGAAGTAATCGACCAGCATACGGTCGAGTCGCACTTTTCGCCAATGTGTCAAAGACGCCTGCAAGTAGCAACGCGCCACATAAAGCTAGCTTTTATTGGGGGAGGGGAGGGGGGGGGGGGGGGGAGTGGCTACGCGCTAGTTGAAGCTAATTTTTATTGGGGTGTAAGGGGATCAGTAGCAGTCTTCGCTGTGGCACGAATGCGCAGGTCCGTCCTGGGTACCGCGACCTCACAAAAGAACGGTGTGAGGAAGTGTAATGCTTCTGCGTATCGTCTGGTGAGTGAGGTAGCCGGGGCTCACTTTTGTTGTAAGAAGGTAGGGCCACGCAACAGTTTCAGCTGTGGCGGGAACGGACAAGTTCGTCCGGGGAAGTGCCACGACCTTGAGGTGGAAGTGTTGTACTTTTGGCCACTTGATTTAAAGGTGGCAACGACTCTGCAACCCTACGCGCGATGCAAATATCCATGGGCGGCGGTTATTACTCAACATCAGGTGAACCGCCAGCTCGTTTGCCACTATTTCACATTAAAAAAAAATATCTTTCATTGTTTTAACAATAACCTCACATTCTCCTTTAGCACACATTCTACCAAAGAACTTAATTGCTCGCACCAAGCTAGTCGAGATTCGAACCCACCTGCGCCGATGCGGGCTCCTGCTGGGCGCTTGCCTGCTCCTTGAGGTGCTCGAGCCGCTTCTTACAGACATAAGCCGCTTGCACCTCCTCGCTGATTGCCTCGGACGCCTTGCGTTTCATCGTCTTCAACTTTTCAACCTTATTTAGGAGATAAAGTTCAAATTACTACTTAACATTTTTTTCTGTGTGATGGACAGGCATGACAGCTCAATAGATATCTACTATTATCTATATGTATGTACCAAATGAAACTATATAATTCACGCTAACTTCTGGGACTTTCTCAATCAAGTTGCACTATTCATGTAATAAAAGAAGCCAATAGCTGAAAAAAGCTAGATACAAGATAGCTAGTGCCAAACTATGCATCTTTATGCACCTCATGTGTATGTTGAAATATGTGTTTAACCCTAATGGGGGTAAACAAAAAGACATTACATTTTTAACGGTGGTTGGGCCAAGCAAGTGTTTGCTATTGCAAGAATGGGCAGGTCCGTCCGGGTTAGTATCACGACCTCACAGAAGACGGGCGTAAAGTAGAAGCACTTCTGTGTTTCATCTGGTGAGTGAGGTAGACGGGCCCAAGATTATTAAGGTGTTGCAAATGTCCAAGGGCAGTTATCACTTAAGATTAGGTGAACCACCAGCTCCTTTGCCACTACTTCACTTAAAAAAAACATGGCAGAACAATGAGAAACTTACATATATTGCTTCATACAAGAAAGATAAAATGCGAACCATTCCGCCGAGTATGGTGTCTATCTCGCCAGCAGTGACTCCACTCTTCTTAGATGTTGTGTCCAACTCTCCAGCTGCACTGCTAATCTGCCGAGCCTCCACGTCCAGGATGCGCTGGGCATTGCGGTATTTCTTGTTGAAGACTTCATAAGGCACCTGAAGAGAGAAAATCAAAAAAGAGAGATTGATGTTAAAGTTAACTAGTGCACATATTCCAAAATGGCTGTTACTGAGCACAAATTTGTGTTTTATGATAACTCCAAATGTCCACACAATGTTGACGTATTGCACATTACTTATACCTTAATTTCACTTAGGCGATATGCTGTACATAAAATCATTGATGTGTGATCATGTAAAATTAACAATTAAGGCCACATTCACACAATATAATTGCATAATATAATACATGGAATGAAGGTATTTAACTTTTAATTTGTATAGTGTGTGAATAATCTAAGTCTAAAATGGGACATACACACAATCCATGCATGCTATAAACATAAGAATCCATTCTCCAATCTTGCGTTGATTTCTTATTCCCTACTTCAAAACGAAACCCAGAACAAAACTGGAAACAAGGAATATTCGTAGTATGTAAATCATTAGTTTCTAATCTCCAACACAAGTTATTATAATGAAAGAATTTTACCATTTAAAATCATCCAAATAAAAGAAATATAAATCTGTTTGTAAGATCGAGATGTACATATGCATAATGGCATAAATATTATTTTTAATTTTGATACTTGCATATAATTATGTAATATTTGAGTATCAAAAAGCATTAATGATCTAAATTGAAGACCTGTATAAATAACTGTTTTTAAGATTGAAACTCGAAAAGAGAGAAACTCTTTTTAAAAAATTTTCAACCACACAAAGTGAAGAGAGGGTATTAAAATAAAATTGCCAAACAATTAAAATCAATTTCGAGTATATTTAGGTAGTACTCTATTACTTTAATAATAGTTATTAATATAGAGTTATTCCATTAGTTAAGTACAAATTTTTGTACTAAATAAATCAGAGTAACAAAATTTCAATAAGATTATTATGATCAAATTATAATATTACTTGACGTAAGTTTACGTCAATCTTCATTTTGGGTTAATGATACGTATTACGCGTACCTAGGCTGTTCTAAGCGATGTTAATGAAATATTTTTTTAAATCAAACTTTATTACTAACATGACGTTAATATGCGAACCTGTAATTGTTGTTACACTCACCTTCAAAGTAGCGTGCTCTAGTGACTTTATTTCGTTCATTTTCGTTATGCTATGTATCTCTCTTAATGCGTAGGATTAAATACGCTTCTAACTCTATAGTATGAGTATGACAGGCATATGGAGTCTGAACAATGACAACAAAACTCAGCTGATCGAATATTGAAAAACAAACACGAAATTAATAGAACGTAGTAAGTATCACAAATGAAATTTACAAACAGCTATTAATTTAAACAGTTTTCCATAATACAATTTTATAATGCAATCCTCCCTTAGTTTTATTTTTTAATTCGCTATGTAAGGAATAGGTATAATTTAATATGCGGACATTAGAGAAACAGAAACAGCAGCGTTCATCAGTGAGCCTTTATAAGTCACAGATAATGTTAATTTCTTTTGTGTATGTTAAGTAAGTAAGTGGATCGTTGGAAACTGTTTTTTGTTGATAATATTATTATATAATATTTTTCTTTAATTAATTAGTATATAATATTTTTCATATTGGTGAAATAAACTTATATACATATAGTTATAATAAAACAGGTTATTTGTAGCTTTCTTTTAAAGATACATTTTTGAAGTTATATTTATTTTAGCGCGTTTGGAAAAATTAAAATGCCCGCGCACACCGACACGCAATAAGCGACATGATAAAGTTAGTTGCAATGCATACTTGCAAACTTTGCATTGCAATGCAAAGTATTGCAAAGCGACTTCCCAGTATTGCCATAGCAACTAATAAAAACTTTTTGACATTTATATAAAATTACAAGTTATTTTTTAAGTTATTTAGTTATCAATTGCAATTAAGTATAACTTCTTACGTCCGTACATAACTTACACACAAATTTATTTAGGTTTAGTTTTGAACTTTACTAAGCCGTTAAAAATAATGATAAAACTGTAATTAAATAAGATGGTTACCATTTTTTCATTTAAATTAAGCTAAAAATAGATTTAAATTAAACGTAACAAGAACAAGATTGGAAACATTTTTACGTTTATTTGTTGTTTTTTTTTTTGCGAGAAAAGCTATAGCTGAATACTATTTTCGATTTCAACATATAAGAGAATTATAATAATTAATCTTTGTAAAAAATAAGAGTATCGTATTGCTCATTTAGACAAGAGAAACACAGAGAATCTCAAAAAATCGTAAGCGTTTATCCGATGCAAGAACTCGCCATGTTTTTACCACCTGTGTTTGTTTCCATTGTGATATAAACTCGTAGCAATCCAAATAGATAAGACTCGCGTGAAATATAAGTGTTATACTTGTGCGTTTTATCTTAAAAAGAAATATATAATAAAAAGCCTTTAACATATAAAAGAACCGATTTCAAGGAAATCTATTAGCTCTAAAAAGTTTATTATAATACTAAATCTAATATAATCAAATCTAACAATAATTCTAAATCTAATATAACAAAATTTAACGTTTTTTCGCTGAGGGTGCCTAGCCTAAACCTCGGTTACTGGTCAATAAGCTTGAGAGCACCCGAGGGAGCCTTATTACTACATTCACCGGTTTGGGATGCCGCCACGCTCTTAAGTCGCTTTGGCGGAAGCTCCATGGAGGGACTAGGTTCAAGGGCCCCCGAGAGGATACCTCGGCTTGGGCTGTCACTCAATACCCTTTTAACATTCCGATCCAAGGGTGCCCGAGAGGGGTTGGGGGAATTTCTATAGCTATTATTACTACCACTTCGGAAAGCGTTTGTGCTGGGAGAAGAAGTGGCGGAAGACTCCAGCAACGCTTCTATCATTAACTGGCAGGTGTTTTTTGTTGTGTTTCCGTAACTGTTTGATCCTGTTGATGACGACAGTCGTCTCATTGTCAGGAAAATCGAGGACGTGTTGCGGTCTACGCCAATGGCGGCGGAACGTATCTAGCGGTGGGGGTCTGTTAATGTTGGTACTTACGATTAGCGGATTGGGATGCGCTTCAGGGTACCGGGTGCCGGTCTTGCATTTTATTCATAAGAAAGCATTTGTGTGATCCACAGACCCGCTAATCTGTGTTCCGGATTTGCGTATCTATTTCTCAGAGGTAAACGGCCGGGAAATAAAAAACCTTGCCAGTCAATTTCATTCAAAAGTTTTGAATCACAAATAAATGTAATTATCGTATTGTTTCTTATGAAATGTAATAAATTAATAATTAATAATTTAATTATGTCTAAATTCACTCAAATATTATTTTTTTGTCTATTGTTCCAGTGAGCAGAGACAATTTGCTGTTTTTAATCTATGCATCTTGTCGGCGCGTCAGCGCGTCACTTTCATTACGCTAATCCGCCATTTTGTACGTAGCTGGCGGTGATTCAGGGTTCGCTTTCCCGGTTAAGTGTTTATTGCGAGAAAAACCTTGTAAACTTTATTTAAATTGACTTTGTTTATTGACTGTGAACCAAACAAACCTTACTGTGACATAATTTTGCTGCTATACGTTGTGCTATCGTGATTTGTGAGTGCCCTGTAATTGGAGCGCGTGGCTGGTGATTCTTTGTTGTTGGATTCATCATTAAAACGGTAAGTTTTCACTAATTTGTCATTTAATAACTGACTAATGTGAAATATCGGTATTAGCTAACAGTTCCATGTTACTGAGCGCGATTTTAACAGTGAAGTTTCTAAAAATGTGATAGCGTCATTGTAATGGTGGCGAAGCGGCTCTGTGCAGTGGTCTAGATGACGGGCGACGACATATTCGCCGACGCCACCGACGCGTCACAAATTCACGGCCGCAGACCCGTCCGGGTCATGACTTTCTAGAACCTACCAATTTTTGGGTAGAGGTTTAAGATAAATGAGCACGCGTTACTTCTAATCGGCGCGTATTGGGACGCTGATGACCTACTTACTTTAGAAAGTTAGCGCAATTGTGAACACTGTCGCGTTTTTAGTACACTTAAAATGACAGGTGTTTAAATCTGAATATACATTCAAACTTCTTTTAGTAAAAGAGCATAAATTTAACATTTAGCTTGTAAATTTGATGGTCCCTTAACACCTTGTGTGTTGTAAGTAAATTTTTACAACGGCTAAACTGTTAAAGTTTTTAAATACTGTATAAAATGCTTAACAGTTGTATTTTTGCCATATATATACAATATCATATACAAATGTTTTTTTCTTAAAAAGTTATTCACCAAATATTTTAACATTATTCATACTCTAGATGCAAGTTGAAGTAATTTGTTATATTTAATTAATATTTATAATTTGTTATTATATTTGTCCTATCTTATTTTATCAGTAATATAATTTCAATGTTGTGTATTTGAACATTTTAATTTCAAAATTGCATGATTGACATAAATTCATTTAAAATTAATTCTGTAACAAATAGATATACTTTATTTTCAACTTCAGTAAAGTTAAATTAGTCCTGACTTCTCATTCAACTTAGTTTAAATTGGGTAAAAACTTTGAATGGATTTCATTGGAAAGTTTTTGCCATTCATTATTTACCTATTTAGCTTTGTGTTTGTTTTCCCTTGTTAGCTTTGGTCCTGTTGAAATACATTTTCGAGTTTCCTTAATTTCACCATCAAAGTTTGTTTCTAAAGCTGTTTATACTTGTTTGTTTAATAAACATCAAGTCTTCACTTTAAGGAACAGTGTTACCTTTATAGTAAGTTTAAAATTGTTGTCTATATTTCATTATAATTTAGTATTATTTATAATTAATAAAAATGTGAAATATTATAATATAGTTTTCATTTGAAGACTAAGTTTATTAATATTTGTGATAAGTCAATTGATATTAGATTGTCATTGGTCTTAATTAATAACTAGTTGCTGCCCGTGACTACTTCTGCGTAGAATAGGCTAAAGGCATAACATTCAGACAGATATACACAAAATATGTATATAAATTATAGCCTATCTCTTATTCTGATGTATAAGCTATATTATTGTAAAGTTTCGTTAAAATCTATTCAGTAGGTTTTGCGTGAAAGAGTAACAAACATCCATCCATACATACAAATTTTCGCCTTTATAATATTAGTAAGGATTTTTTTTGAAAAAAATTTGATTAACTGTTTTGTTATTATAGCTTGGTATTAGGCAAAAACATTAGTAATTTGTACTCAAAAGCAATTCTCATAGAACTGTTTAGAATTGATGCATAAGTAAACATTAGTTGTCCACTGCCATTAATAAAAGTATTGTATCTCAAGACATTCTACTAGGGTGTAAATAGCATTTAATTTCTTTTCATGTGATATTTCAAGATGGGACTTCTCAATGAATGGATTGATGATATTATGATATGATATTTAGCTTATTTGTAATAATAAAATAACGCGTAATTTCAGTGTATCTGAGCGCAACTCTGAGTTCCAATAGGTTCAATGCACGAAATCGAAAATCGTTGTATACATTAAGTTATAAAATTACATATTCCAGGTTTGTTATCCGATAAGAGACTGTCGCAACGTTACTTACGTAACACAATACCTATGTGCTGACCGCGGATTGTCGACACCGCGTGTCGTAAATACTTCAATAATAAAGTCCACATCCACTTCAAAATTAGGGTTGTCACACATACATTTTATTTATCTATTACCTACAACAGCCAAGTGTTTAATGTAATGGGTACCTAATTCCAAATAGGATTTGTCCAAGTTCTAAAATATTCTTAAATGTCTGTTGCTTTATTTTACAATTTTTTTAAAGAATTTTCTATTATTTTATAAAGGAAACTTATAAAAATGCCAATATCGTTCAAAGGATGGTTTCATCACATTGTCTCCTTTCAAAGAATATAATTTTGAGAGCATATGTATATTGGATAAAAATCGTGGACTTATTTATACACGCAAATTTACACATACATAGATCAAAAAGCTTCGGCTACGAAAATATTTATAAAAGATATCTGAAAGAGATAACCTCTAATCTGATAACCTACTCAATGGTTTAGCCGCGTACATTGGATATTTCGTTGATTACATTTAGTTGTTAGCGTCACTATACGATTTATACTTATATATGTTCATAAACAATTTCAATAGTAGTTGGGGCTG